GATTTTCATGATATCTTTTAACTCAATAAATAGCTGTAGACTTACTACAACGTACCTGTTTAACAATAAATCTAAAACTAAACTTTAGACTAGCTGGGTATTCACGTAAAAAGACAATTTCATATTGTTTCTCTAAAAAAGTTCTATTTTTTAAGCAAAAGTTTGATAATCATTTAAATTTTTTTTTTATATTATTGACAATTAAAAATTTACAGATGATCATGTATTGTGTTACATTATATTTCTAGAAAATTTAAGGGATAGTTATATAATAATTTTAGACAATTTCAGGCAGTCAGATACTTATAATCACTGCTGTAATTAGTCTAGTAGGAGCTAATTTTCTAGTGAAAAATATTAGGTAGCAATTTTTATTTTTCTACTTTTATACTCGTATTAGGATTTTCATATATTCTATACTAAATTTATTTTTATATAATAAAATATTGCTTTAAAAAAAATAATTATAAGAATAAAATTTAGTTTGTTGGATTTATCTTATTAAGACTTATTAAATAATTATATTTTTATATTTCTAAGATTAATAGATAGCAAAATATATAAGTTTAAAATTTTAATTTTTTTTTATAATAAATTATCATATATTTATCTTTAAAATATCACTAATTAATTATATTTTTTTTTTTTTTAAATTTTTACTTAATTTTTAAATAAATTATTTTAAAATATTTAAAATTATTATAAATAATTTTAATTATTAAATAAAATTACAGGCAAATTTATCTACAAAATACTTGAAAGGATAAATTCCTTTTTAATTTACTTTTATGAAAAATTAAGTTAAATTATTAAGTTCAAAAATTTTAAATATTTGCTTTATCAAAATATATTTTACAAAAGATTATATTGATATAATAAATCTTAAGATAATAAGAGCAGAATTTATTAAGATTTCAAATAATTCTATAGATAAAACTCAAAATTATATTGGTACTTTAATAAAAATAATTTTTTGAATAACAAAAAATAATATTTCATTAAACAAATTGTTTGAAATTATAAACTTTATAGAATTCTTAAATGTTTTATCTGAATATAAAATATTATCTATTATTTCAAATTTAATTGTAGAAACCATTTGAAAAGAATTAGATAAAATTATTATATTTGATATTATAATTGATAAAAGTACTGATATTTTATATGAATTTTACCTTATTATCTATATTACGTATTATTTGAATGAGAAGGTTAAAGTTTGTTTTTTAAATTACTCTAACTAATAAATAAAAATTTAAAAATTATTTTCAAAACAATTATTGATTTATTTGATAAAAAAGGCAGATTTTTAAATTAATTTACTATGTTATTATTTATTATTATTTATATAATTAATATAATTTTTTAAGGATTAATAAATAAACTTATGTTATTTGCTTTAAATGAAGCAAGTGTCATATTAGAAAATTAATAGAAATAATATCAAAGAATTAAAGAAAAAAGAAATATTTATTTGTAACACATTGTATTGCATATAACCTAGCTTTAGCTTACAATTTTACTAAAAAAAAGTAGATTTTTGCATGTTTAATATATTATAAAGTTTATAATTTTTTTTCTAATTCTAGTAAAAGAATAGGTAATTTACACAAATATCAAGAAATATTAGAACATCCAATTTTGAAAATTAAACAATTTTTGAAATTTAATAGCTTTCTTAATATAAAGCAATAAAAAATATATTTTTTTCAATTGAATCTTTAATAAATACATTATTGATAACAATAACTATATTACTAAGACAAAATTTATTTTTTTATATACAGAAATTTGCGATTGAAAGCTTCTTACTTTTTTACATTTTTTTAGGATATTTTTGATTATCTCTCAATATTTTTCAATAAAAAAATTCAATATTTAAATATGGACGCTTTGCAGGAAACTGCCACGCTTATTTGTCGGATTAATTTAATAACGGCACACTTAATGTCGTAATGCCGGCCAAAATGTCACGTGTCGATGATTTTTGTTGGTTACGCTGGGGAAGTTGGGTCTCCCTAAAACCTCACGTGAAATTTTAAATTTTTTTTTGTCGCGCGCGCTCTTCCGTTTCTTGTTATGACAACCTCCAACGAATTGTCCTGTGAAATGTATCCCGGTCGTTCAGGCAAGTAAATACTCAATGCGAGCGGAAAAGGTAAAATATTAACTACATTTTGTTTCGATAGCCCTCGTTGCGTACTTGAAAAGCCGTGATCCAAAGGATTGGTCGTACATGGAGTTTTTGAGACTTAACCAGGCCACTATCGTTGATGTACCACCCTTCTCAGACGATTGGACTGGCGTTGACGGTGCATGGGCTAGAAGATATTTGCAGGAGGTCGGCGAGATAAACCCGAAACTACGCAATTCTGAAAAAGAAAAGGTGATATCGTTTTATATTAATTTAATTAGCGGAAGGGGCTCCACATCCGTTCTCTACCGGAGTTGTGGAGTATCCGTTATCTACCGGTCCCAAGTGTTGGTGGTGGAAGCTTTAGGTCCGTTATCTACCGGATCTAAAGTATCCGTAATCTTCCGGGTCCCCACCTTCGCGACCCGCTTTACTCTGTCCTTTGATTTGATCGCTAAAGAGGCGTTGGAATTAGAAAATACTTGACTTTTACCTTTATTTGAAACAGATAAAAGCAGCTCATGCGAGCTCTGCCCTGCCTCAATTTTGGCGTGAGGTAATTTCGGATCGCAAACAGGTAGGCTATGAGCTGGTTATTATTCTATCAGAGTAAATAACATTGATCAACTTTATAAAAGCTTGGATTAAGGAGCATACTTGATACGGAAAGCCTTGAGTTGTTGGGTGAAGCAAGTAAATTCCAATCACAGAAAGCTCGTATGAATTATAGATATCAGACTCGGATGTTGGCACATTCATCGGATAAGCGCCCCTATGAGAGCACAGTATATGAGGATGAACCCACGGATTTGGGTTATGAGAAAGCTAAAAAGGTTAGTATCAGCAGAAAATTTAAACTTGTGAAAGTTTTAGCCATTGTAATTTTTAAATGCATTTATGAACAGACTAAGACACTTGAGAGTCATGGAACAGCAGAAGATTCAGATGGTGATATGGCATACACAGAAGAAATCCAAGACCTTTCTCTGGTATTGTTGCTTTTGCTGTTATTCTCTTTAATAAAAAAAATGACACAAATTTAATTCAAATTGGATGTGCACTTCACATAATTCAAATTATATTAAATAACTTTGAACAAGAAACATTTGGAACTTGCTAGTTTTACTTATAGAATATACTAATGTACTTAATTTCCTAGGATGAGATGAAAATTCGTGGTTTACTGCTTGCGATTTTGGATGAGTACAAACAAGAAGAGGAAAAATCTGGAAAAACATATATGTCCTCAACATACCTCAATAACATAATAGATCTTATTAATGCAGATATGCAGAAGACAATTGAGAGGACTCTAGACGAGAAACAACGTTTATGGTTCGAAACATCTCTAAAAAAGCAAGTTTGGGAGCCATCTGAAGAAGTTAGACAGTACTTCAGTCAGTTTACAGAAGATACATGCAATCGAATCAATATTCCAACACTTGTTCGTAAATCTTTCATTTCGGGAAGGTTTGATCCTTATTATCATGAAGGTCATGATATTGTGCAACAAGTCTTTACCCATTGGTAAGCATTGTTGCATATGTAGTGGTAATTTTCCACATTGTTGCTAACCTTTTATGGATAGTTCTATCCGCTTAGAAGCACCAACAAGGCGTGAATCAAAATGTCCTGACCTTGAACGAACTTATGCAATAGATACTGTTGTGTATGTTCTTAATCGATTATTTAGGATGCACCAGGATGTGCTAGATGTTGGATGGTAAGCGTCAACAATGAGTTTTGGGATATACTATTAGCCTACTAATTCTTTCCTTCATTCACAGGATTGAACTGACAACACCTGATACTAAGCAGCATAAGGTTGATGGAGTTTTTAAGGCAATCAAAACAAACAATAACCAGGCTATCATAATTGTGGAGTTTTCACGTGGCAGAAGGGCATCCTCAACTAAAAAGGGAGAAGATCACGTCAAATTAAGCCGCAATTCAATGCGCATTCTAAACAAGTTACTAGAAAGTGTACCAAGGGACATTGCACGTGTATACTTAGTACAGACTGCTAGTAAGCATTTTGATTGAAAACTCAGTGATATAAATATCTGATTGTCACATATGCTAATGTATTTTGTGTATAGATGGCTACATTGATGTCAAATACTTAATTTGTCCCTTGCCATCAATTTATTTACTTCAACGGTTTGCGTACATTAAAATACCAATGAGTTTTGATGACTTTGAGTTATTTTCAGAAGCTATGACTGATTTGATTAGCTGGCAGGTATGGATATTGATGAGCATTTGGAAATGTCTTACTATTACTTTTCCTGACTTGTATTTACTATTCCAGAAAGATGTACTTTTTACAATAAAGGCAGTTAATAGAAGTGGTACTAGAATAGAGGACAATTATACCTGGAATGTCTGCACAACTCTTGTACAAGATACACCACAAAAGTCAAAGCTAAAGAAAAAACAAAAGAAAGCTGATCATCTCTCATCTTCAGATTCTGAATCATGCCCTGCATCACCATGTCCTGGTAATAGATCTGAATTACAACCACTAATCTAATCAGGGCACTATGTAGACTTAGAAATTAATTTGACAAATTATCTGTCATAATGTCTGTTTTTTTAACAATATTGCTGAAGTTTTTGTTGTGCTAAGAATAAAGTCACTAATTCTTATCCTATTAACAGAGGATCTTTATTTACTGTTTTCAAAATTGTTGGTCATGTGAACATAAATGGTGACATTTATATTTCTACCCTTTTTATTTATTCTTTAGTATAGATTTAATTCGAGGTAGAGATCACGGTATTCCATCATATATGATGCAAGTATAGCATTTGGTTTAAAAAAAATCAACTTGGGCAGATTTCAAGCGATCTCGAAGTACAAAAAATTTAGAAGAAACATATTGAACCATAGATCGAGTTGTTTTTACAGATGAGAATATATTTCAATTATATACATTAAAAAAAAGGTTGGCAGTTTTCTGGTAGAAAAAAAGTATTTCGTTTTGTTAAGCATCTACTAAAAGTTCATGTTTAGAAATGTTTTTCTGCTTTTGGATTTGGTAAGCTATTTTGCTTTCAGAGGAATCTTAATGCTGAATTTATGTGTATTATTTATAAGCAGGGTCTTCTGACTTTTACCTCTAACCTTTTTAGTGAAAGTAACATAGATTGGATCTTGCAAGAAGATAATGATCTAAAGCATCGATCGAAAATCACAAAAAAATGAAAGGAAGAAAATAGCATTGAGGTACTTTCTTAGCCATCAATGTCTTTAAACCAAAACCCTATAGAAAACATTTAGAGGTTAATGAAAATTAATATACAAAAAAAAATTTAATTAATTAGAGGGTTAAAGGGAGAATTTACAAAAGAATAGAACCAATTATTATCTATACTTTCTGCGAATTCATAAAAAGGCATATAGCTGCACTTATAGAGTCAAATAATGATTACACAATATATTAATTTTAGTTAGTTGTTATGTATTTTTTTAATAAAAAAAATTTTAAATTTACTTACTTGTAGCCAGAGTTAAAGGCGATCGGATACTTATGACTGTTACTGTAGTTATTCTGTCTGATTTTGATTATAAAGATTTATTGAACAATTATCAATACTAAATTGAATGAGCAGAAATAATCATTAAAGAACTAATTGTAAATATCAAAAGTAATTTTCATATAAAATTATAGAGATCTCAGTAGGAATTATATTTAATTATATAATATTAAGATTTAAAATTAGTCATTTATGTAAAAATTCTTTATATTCAAAAAATTTCATCAAAATAGTAATAGTAATCATCAAATTATTAATAATAATAATTATGATAATAATATTAATAAAAATAAAAATAATAGTCATGATTCAGATAAGAAAATAAAATTTACAAATTTTTTGAAAAATAAGTATTAAACATTGATTAGATTTAACATTATACAAAATATATGATTCTTCAACTCATGATATGGATTTACAAAAATTAATCAGCAGTATCTTCACAAATTTTGCATCCTAATAATGATTCTATGATAAAATGATTATTAATTGATTTATTTTCTAATAGATTAGAAGCATTATATTACTGATTAAATTCTTTAATATTTAGTTTATAATTATAAATTTTGTATTATATCTATATAAGAATAAATTATTAATTTTATAAAGATATTTAGATTTTTTATTATATATAGATTTCTATCATAGATTCATTCAATTTCTTTTATTCTATTCAATTTTACAACCTTCATTGTTTCTATGATTGGTTGTTAAATAAAAGGTACAATAAAATAAAAACCATTGACTCTTTGATGCAAACCATTTATTATAATTTAAAAAAAATCAAATATATTATTTACTGAACCTTCATTTAGAGTATGCTATTTTATTTGTGTATGATTAACTTTGTCAATTATGGTTATTATATTATTAAAATATAATTTTAATTTTTTTTTAAAAAAAAAATCCTAGTTAATAAATTTAATTGGTTTATTTACTTTTTTTTTTGATAGTTGGAAACGTAAATACTTTTTTTTGTAAAAAAAAAAAAAAAAAAAAAAAAAAAAAAAAAAAAAAAAAAAAAAAAAAAAAAAAAAAAAAAAAAAAGAAAAAAAA